ACTTTAACTGTCATTTTTAATTAAATATACATTATACATCAAAAATAATGTAAAAAGTATACAAAATTCTCTATTATTTTATGATAAATTTTCTGTTTATTATACAAAATATCCATATATGTAATATGTACGAACACACACACACACACGCGCGCGCGCGCGAGAAATGAATATAAATTTTATGTAAGAAAATTCCAAAGATTTTTTGCACTACGTTGTGCTATTTTAGATTGAATTTACTTTATGTACAAATTCAAAACATGTATAGTATAACAGAATCAAAACTGCGTTATTTGAACGCAAAATACGTTCAAAAATATTTTATTATGGAGCAAAATGAAATCTGTTCTCGAATCCTTATATGTATGAACAACACAACTTCAAAATCCAAAATTATGTTATATTCTTTCAAAAAACTACTTCATTGATGCACATGTGGGTTGAAGGAATGTATGTTAATAGCGATAATTATTTATATACCATTTATAGTTATACAAATGACAAAATCGCTTACTGGTTTATATCGGAAATGATTTGACCAAATATAGGATAATAGATAGACAAGGATGATTATCTTATTTTTATTTGCTTGATTTTTATATTTGTTGTAATATTGTATATTATATATCAAGTATCAATTTCTATTATCTTGATTTCCCTTAAAAAGACGAAAGATAGAAATTAGAACGTTGACAAAATGAAGACATATCATATTATTAAATTATTATAAAAATTTATTTTATACATAGTCTTTAGAAATTGACATTTTCTTTTTACAAAAGAACATTCTTTTCACTGATTTTGAATTTTTTATTAATAATTTGAAGTTCTTGTTGATATTTTATTAATATTTTAAGTAAGATAATCAACCGTATCTTCTCTTGTGGACATTGATGATGTCCAATGCTCTTTAGAGAATATGGAAATGGATCGAAATTGTATTTATTAGTTGAAAATACGTTGAATATCTTGTAAATTATTTTATAATAATGGGGCTTAGCTGAGTCTTGTAAAGGCAATGATGCTAGACGCTTATTTGCTCCAAAGAAAAATGAATAGATAATTATTAAATAATTATTGATGTAAAAATTAATATAAAACTAAGTGCGATTGTATAAAAGAGATTGATGAGTAACTGAAGAAAATGTTTCGAAGTTTCAAGTACCTTGATTACAGTCCTTTTTTGTTATAGCAGCAGTAATTTATTATTATACTGAAACTTGTTAAAATGAATCAGTTTTAGAATGATTCTTTTTCACAAATTCATTATTAAATTTGTATACAGTGTGCTTCACTAAAGGAAGATTTCATTAAAGGAACATGTTTCCACACACTGTTGTGATAGCTTTAATAATTTTATATATACAGTTTAATTTTGTGTGCAAGAGTTTCAGCAATAAACTGCGATATGATCCAAAATGACTAAATTTGTCGATAAACTTTGTAAGGCGTTTGCTAATAGAATCAATGCGTCATGTTCAACGATATATGAGTCTGCTAGTAGTCTTTATAATTCTTGTGCAGTCATGTCACTGGACCTACTAACAAAAAAAATAAGCATAATGCACAGTTTCAATCTGTTACAATATGCTAATCGAATCACTAATATATATATATATATATATATATATACTAACACTATATATGTACTTG